GTGTATTCTGTCATGTGTCTGTTTGTTTTTAGGTTCCGTTTTTACCTGGTTGTTGCTGTAAGTTTGGGTGGATTGCTGCAATCTTTGGCGGCGTGGCCTTCTTGTTTTCATAGAAAGCAGTTTTATCCGTAGACGCGAAGATTCTGTACTGTGTATCATCGTGATTTATTAAAAAGGATTGGGGAATTTTTGGGAGGTCGTCTGGATTGATGAAGACCTGTCTTCTAAAACTCATTAGTTTACCTGTCTTCTAAAGAATGTTAGTTTGGATGTCATTCGAATGTTGATGTTTGTGAGATATTTTTCTATGTATTCGCGTGGTATAGACGATGAGACATTCTAAAGTATTAATCTCTGGGATGGATTGATTAGCGGTCTGACTGTAGTATATACATTATAGATAGTTATTGTTCTGCGTTTAGTTACAAAGTCTTGTGCTGTAGTCTTTCTGTCGAGATAGATGCAGATACGACCGTTGGAGATTCGGAAAGCGAAACGGATAGCTTCGGAACCAGTGACTTTGGCGACTGCGAGTATGTCGTCTTTCATTGTTGTGTTGTCAATAGCGTCGATTAAGATTGCTTGCTCTTTAGTTGGAAAAGAATTAATCATTGTAACAGTAGCATAGGATTTTGCTTATATAGTTGGAACATTTGATGGGTTTATAATAGGTTGATTGTTGGTATCTGTGTGTAGACCTCTATGCGTAGACGCCTCGTTGTTTGTGCATACTCTTTGACTCATGGTGTGTCGAAGATGGGGAATTTTCCATTGACGCACATTATCACAGCACTTTATTATTGTACTGTGTGTGATCGGTACTCGCGAGCAAGGTAAACACGTCTGTTAGGTTTGAACGCTCGGGAGCAACTCATTAATTTTTCTTTAGTGTTTAAGTATACGTTAAATATTTTTGGATTAAACATAGCTAGTTTACCTAACACGAACGTAACAGTTGGAAATCCCATATAGAAACGTGCGTTTGAAATTATCATTTATTGATTCTACTAAACAGATGTTTGAAATTATCATTTATTGATTCTACTAAAATTTCATTCTTCTTATTAATTCTGTTAAAGTCATTTTCCCTAAGTCTACAATAAAAATTGTGTACTTTTATAAACCCATTGTCTGATTTATTTTCTATTTCTTTTTAGATAATTTTTTCTTTATATTCTTTTCTTCTATTCTCAATCTCCCGATGTTTTTATTTATTTATTGTTATTATATTTTTAAATATTTGACGCTCAATATTTTTATTATAATATATGGAAGAAGAACAAATATTATTTTTTTGTAGTCGTCCGACATATTAAGTGTGACAATTGTTACGTATGGCTTTATAGCATTAAATACGGCTTTATAGCATTAAATAATAAATACGAAGTAATATGCCGCTCGTGCGTTGAGTTAACATAGTTCAAATTAATGATACATGTACTTCTATAATTATAGTCAAAGAGAATAAATAAATAATAGTACGAAGAATAGATATTTTGATAAATAAGCTGTGTCCATCTCATTGCTGTATATGTTTTGAAGAAACTGTAAAGAAGGAAGAACTAATGTGTTACTTAACTTAAATTCTAACTGAAACAAGTGAAAATTCGTGTTTGTTACATATAATAAGACAAAATATATAAATTATGTAGGTTGTGACAAAAAATAAATACGAAATACATACACAAATAAAGAATACATGCACAGATACGTGTAATATATGTATGTCACCAAAATATTACTTTATAACAAAAAATATTTTGGAAAAATTATAAATGATTCAATGAATATCTCACAAAGCAAATGATTGTCTTTGTAAAGAATGAGGAAGACTTTTTCCAAATCCATAAATTCTCTTACAAAGTTTCTTTTTTTTGATAATTCTATCATTTTATATGTCTAATACATTAACGTCTTTATATTTACTTTTTTTCCAAGTATTATTATATCAGTTATCAAAACTTAAATTTAATTCATGAAGATGTTATTTATCAAGATAAAAAATGTATAACGCAAATATAATATAATGTAAAATGTATGAATAAAGGTTTCCAATCAGATAGATGTATTTCAGAAAATATACTCAAAAGAATTTTAATCAATATCTGGCATACATTTGTAATGTAGAAAATTTGCAAATGTAAAAAGAAAAATAAAACATAAGCTATTTCAGATAAAACGCGCTTTAAGAATGATTAAACAAAGTTTATCTTTCAAAGATACGAAAGTTTTAATCTATCAAGTTTAATCTCCTGATTTAAATTCAAATATATTGAAAAAATGAATATTTTCAGATTAAATTTTAATAACAACATATATTCTTCCTCTTTTTTAAAAAAATAAACACTAATTTGTAGACTGACTGTTAATAGACTGCAGATTTTAATATATTTATAGAAAATTTAAAAATGTAAATTTTCATCATACAGAAAAATATATAAAATGTTCAACGTATAATTTTTCTTATAATATTTATTATGTTAAACAAGTTCCTATTAGTTTCCTACGAGTTTCTATTTTTTGTTCTACTTTTTAAAAATATGAATTTATATAAAAATTTGCAGTCTTATAAATATAGAATGAAATGTATTATCGATAGAAGTGATGGCAATTTTGTCAAACTTTTGTAATATAATAAATTATCAATATTATGTAACACAATAAATTATGAATTGTAATTTTTATAGTTTCAATAATTTTTTTTTAATTTGCAGGTATTTAGACATGGCGACCGAACACCGATTAAGGCAGAGATATATCCTAAATTACCTCATAATCCTATTTACGACACACTTGGTTATGGTCAATTAACTCAAGTAAGTATAATGAAATACAATGATTGTAATTGGATTCTTTTTTATTATTTTATTTTATTTATGAAAAATATTCATTATGTCGTTAATAGTCAGATAATTGCTGCTAAATTTTTCTTAAAGTATTAAATTTTTAATTAAATTGAAACACCTCTAATTATAAACTAATATATACTTAATATCTAAAGGAAAATATCAAATAACACGAATGATTCAAATAAAGTATTATCTTCTTAGAAACAAATGAGAGTATTGGTTTCATTAATGGTAGGATTAAATGGTACAAAAAAACTCATATTTCTGTATATACGTATATTCTTGGGATTCATTTTAGGAATAAATAAGAAAAAGGATAGACTTTTTTAAATACAAAATGGTATTAATTTTTTATTATTTGGATAGTTACCAAACTGTGTAATTACAAATATGTTCTAATTGCTTGGATAATACGTAGATGATTTTTTGGAATATTTTATCAATATTATTCTTTTCATTTTCTGAAGAGATGAACTGATGGTTTCAATATTTATTAATCTTTCTCGCAGGTCTAATGCTAATTTTCCTCGCAGATTCAAGATAATTTTGATGGAAGTGTTAACATGTTATTGATCTTAGGCGAGTATAACAGTAATTACCGACAAACCGCTATTTCATTAGAATCATTTTTACATTTAGAGACACGTGCTCAAAAAACTGAATCTTTTGTTAATAAACTGCATCAGAAAAGCGAATTACCAATGACAAAGATGCTACTGGTAGCAGTAAATGTTAATTCGATAACTAAAACGTGATAGTCATTTTTTTAATTTTAAGTATACAAAAGAACAACAAATATCATTTTAATTATATATGTACATTAAGATTTGTTTGCAAACAATTTTCAAAATCGTATTATTTATTGTACATAATATTGTGATCACATCAATCAAGATAGGTTATTTTGTACTAATTAATTTTTTTAACAAAGCTATATTGGATACGGACTATTGTGTTTCAACAACGTAGGATCATTGAATGTTTGTAGAATCCTTGGGCAATAATGAAATTGGATTTTATTTTTTTGACTACGGTACCAAAATATCTTAAAAAAGTTTTTCCTACATTTAGAGGACGTTCTGTATATAAAAAAAAAATATAGTTCCTATGATGATTTTCCATTATACAATGTTTTAGAAACAAAATTTTCGATATATTGGACGAGATAGTCCATTGTCGTGGCCACCAGATTTAACATAGTCACCAGATTTAACTTCCATAGATTATTTTCATAAGGTTACATTAAAAGTAAAGTGATGTCAATTCCTTCCACTATGATGGAAAATATAAAAGGAAGAACACTGCTTGTAAAAGAAATATGTAGACTTGATAAATGCGTAGAAATCCAAGAATGATTTAATTTATTTCAAATTCTACATTTTTTTCAACATATAAGTTGGTGTTAACAACCAAATAAATAATATAAATATAGATTTACAGTTGATAATTTTGAAATAGAGATTGTAAATTATTGTTATTCGAATTATAACATAAAAATAATCAAATTCACATATATTCATATATTTCGTACACATTTTATATAAAGTTTCATATATTTTCTGTGTATTTTGCATATTGCATGTTAGTTATATATTTCTTGCATATTTGTTGCTAACATTTTTACGAACATTAATATCTGTAATCTACTTATGTACCTTATTAGTTCATCATCTTAAAATAAAATGTTTTTGTATAATGTTTAAAAATTAAAACTAAAATTAAAAATAATAAATTAACAATAATTGCTTTATAAACATGTATAATTTTGCAATACATCAAAGGGAAGAACCAATATTTATTATTCTGTATTCTGCATCAAAACTTTACTTCACAGGTGAATTTTTAATCTCGTAAAGTCAAAATATATATCTCATAAGGAATTAAACATACCAAATGTTGAATACTTTTACAAATGTTTTTGTATTATATGATGAAACTATTTTTTCATTTTTGCAAATCGAGTGGTAGGAAAAATTTTAAAACTAAATTCATTTTTCTAAATTTCATTTAAAATTAGGTCTCTTTAAATCATATAAAGTTAATATCTACTATAAATTCAATTTGAGGTTCTGGGTAATTATCAGAACAATATACAATAATAATAAGTTCTTTAACCACCGTATTTCTAGTTATCTCGTATCAAATTACCTTCTTTAAATAAATTACAGAAATAAGAAATACAATTAGTTATACAATTAGTATAAATATCTACGATTTAATGTATTTTATTTTATTTGTCTAGAAAGGGAAAATAAAAGAATTTCAACTTGGTGTAATGTTAAGACAAAGATATAGTACATTTCTTGGTAAAAGTTATAAGTATGGTAGCGTTTATGCCTATAGTTCGGATACTGATCGAACAAAAATGTCTCTGCAACTGGTTTTAGCCGGTATATATCCCCCAACATTGAATGACGTAGGTTACATACAGTTATTTCCAATTTCAAAGCATAATGTACCAATACTTATAGACAATTTATTATTTCCAACGCGTTGTCCAGTGTAAGTATATGAATTAATTTAAATACATTGTTGTTATTCTTGTTCTTTTGTCTTTCTTCTCACTAAAATGTATTATGCATTATAATATTTATGAGAAAATAATATTTATGTTTGTAACGAACATAAAATATCAATTGTACAATTAGAAAAAAATAATGTAACTACATTGCAGCGAAATCTTTTTACAATAAATGATATAACTAATAAGATTGGAATAATTGTACATATAACGAATAACTAAAGTAGTATTTATACACATACATTCATAGGTACATATACATAAGTTATATTAAATAAACAGTAAGTGAACATTATCATACATTATATTGTATAATACATTAATTATTATAATATTTATTGAAAAGTTGTTATTAAGTTCTTGTTATTCAGTTCTTTAATAACCAGATTTACTTTTCCTCTATTCTAATTGCATTTTAGATACATCTTTTAGATACTTATATATAACATATTACACATATTTATTGTATATTTGTATTAAATAAATCGTAATTTAATTTCTTGATTTGCTTTTATATTTTATGAGATTATTGCAATATATTCTGAATGTTTCTTTGCATCTTTCGTTTTATTCTATTTATAATAAGTAAAAATATTTTTTTTCAGATATGAAGAACAATATCGCAAAGTAAGAAATTCAATTATAGTTCAAAAAAAAATAAGGAGAAACAAAAAGTTTTTTGATTATGTTGAGGAACACACAGGTGTAAATATGACAGTGAATCCAATCTTTTCAACTTTCATACTGCATCATTTCCTGAAGTCACAGGTATGCCTTATTTTATTTTATTTATGATTTTGAACTGCACATTAATAATATAAATGTTCTTAAAAACATTTTTTTTTAATAGTCTAATCACTTTATGAGAATAATTATAATTTTCCTAAAGCATCACATATGTATAACTATAACATAACATACAGGAATTAACAATTTCAACAATATAAAACAATAACACGAAATAAGCGATCAAACTCATATCATGTTCATTCTCAAGCAACATACTTTGTAATATAAGAGCATGATAAATGTGAGTTTAAAAGGTTTCTCTTCTATTACACATAAATATTATTTTGTAGTGAAAAATTACAACAATATAATTTTTACACTAGAAAGTCTCTCAAAATAATATTGATAATGTAATAATACTGATTTTATATTGAATGATTACCAGACGTATTCAAAGAGTTTTAGATAATGATACAAGATGCAATATTGACTGTTATAGGTTAAAATTATAAATTAATCCAACAATAAAAAATTCAAAGGGTGTTGTTAAAGGAATTTCCAATTAGCTTTTTATCTTTGCACGTAAAATAATTATATTTTGAGAATAGAACTTTTATTAATCTAACAATCGTCTCGAAAGATATAACTTAGAATATATTAAGTCCAACGCTTTTTTTTAATACTTTGAAAATAAGAAAACTATTAAAAAATGAACTTTGGATACCAATTTAAATGATACTAACTGATATAGTATGATACTAACAAATCCATAACAAATTTTTATTTTCAGAGCATCTCAAGCTCAATTCGGACTATCATAATGTAGAATGTTAAACAAATAACTGATGTTATAAATTAAAATATAAAATTTAAGAGTAAATAAATAATTATTTATTAATTGTTTGGAAATTTAATTAAAGTATCCCTGCGGGATTAATGTGCAAGAATATACAACAGTTCAAATATAAAGGGTTGTGAAGGGCTTGAAATGGCGATGATAATGCGAGGATAATGTAGGAAGTGATGATGTGGGGTAAGGTGAGGAAAAAGGTTGTGCGCGTTTCGTCTCGGAGTCGCTGCCTAGACTCATCAGTGGGGCTGATGGCAGCGACCCCTCCTCCTTTACCCCAGACACTTGTGTTTTTCTAACTACTCGCTAGGCTGGACGGTCACCACCCCCATCCTAGCGGTGTTCCGCACTCTGTTTGCTTAACATCGAATATCGTTCGATTTCGACGCTAGGCGCACAGCCACTTGCGGCTTGTACGAGTGGGTGTTCGAAACTCGTACTCGAGGGACTCTAGGCCGCTACAGTTGCATACAATTATATTTAAATCAAAAAAAGAGAATTATAACATTTCATAACAGTTTTAAACTTTGCAGAAAAAAAATCGTAGATTAAACATTTAATCAAACTATTTTCAACAAAAAAATTTATTTATTTTAATTCAATAATTTATGATAAGAATATACATATCAAATTTTATAGTTTTTATTTATCATTTAATAATTAATTTTGTATAACTTCGTAAAGTAATATTAAAAAATATTGTGATTTTATTGTCATAATAATGAAACATTTAAAAACTATGTTTTTTGTATTTTATATTTTTTTTATGTTTAATATTACAGGAAAGTATGGATATTAAACTGCCGAATTGGGCAACTGAAGAAGTACGAAAAAGAATGATTCCAATCGTAGAATTAGAATATGAAATCCAATCTTATAACATGTTAATGAAACGAATAAATGGAGGCCACCTTGTAAAAGAATTTATTAAAAATATGGATGCAGAAAGAAATCAAACTTCCCGTAAGATTTATGTATATAGTGGACATGAAGTAAACATTGCAGCTTTTGTCAGAGCACATAATTTAATTGAACCTAAAATACCCAACTTTGGATCTGCAATTATAGTCGAAAAATTGCGAGATAGTAAAGGAAAACATTTTGTTCAAGTACGTTTTATTAAATTATATAAAATAAAACTTTTCTTTAGATTTGTTCAAATTAATTATATACAAAATCAATGCATCGTTCGAATTCCTGTATTTCTTTTCTTAAATAAAAAAACTTTGTCAACGATTCACATGACGTTTAACATTGTAAATTTTGTTCACAGTTATTAGTTTGGAATGACAAAAAATTAGTGCCTTACACGATTCCTGGGTGTAGTAAAATATGCCCGTATGAGAAGTATGTTAAAAGTATGCAAGATGTCATCCCTTCAGATGAAGAATCAAATTGCTTATGGGATAATGTATCAACGGATAAAATACGTTACTATTATACAGTAAAAATGGATTCATAAAATATCTGTTCAATAAAACTTATTTGTGCCAATAATCGATATTAAATTATTTATAATTACTTTGGATATTATCGATTATTCACTTTTATATAGCTCAAAATTAATTTAATTTAAATATATTTAACAACTATTCAAAGTCTACTTTCTCGAAAATAAAGCGTTATATGGAAAAATTTATTTCTGTATTTTTCGATTTATTTTGCACGTTGATTTACTGGTATCCTAGTTGTACCATAAAAAATGGAATACATATTTTGTATCTTTTTGATATACTTCACACGATTTGATTTGATATTTCTTCTCATAAATTGTTTATTAACGTTATTATTATGTTATGACTCATTATGTCATATTGTAGTATCGGTTATTATAATCTGTAGTCATAGTTTTAGTTATGTTTAATTATAACAGATGGCCTATTTAGTGTAGGTACGGCCTATTCTAGTGTAGGTACGATGATGATAATTTAACTGAATCACCGTACTACAAATTTAAATAATAACTTCGTATTACATATTTTGTAAATTATATTAAATATTATTGAAATAAATAAAATATATATTAAATTTAAGAACATAAATTAACTGAATTATTCTGTGTAAATGCTGGCTAACAAATGAACAACAATTTCTTTGATGGTAACTATATACATCTCTAACATTTGTCAAACATCCCCATAGTAACAATAAAATGATAGATACAAAGCTCTTTACATCAATAAACCCAAAATTCCCTCTCCTTTTTATATCAGCTTACCAAAATCTTCCAATCTACCAGAATCCACTCCATCATCGAACGTAAACCATCCCAAATTCCTCCATGGACAATAGAAGCATTCCCAACAAACACTAGTCTTGCCAAACTTTCCAAAAAAATCCTCAATCCAACTGACCACAGGGCCCGATTTCTAGAATTAAACGACAGCTACGTTCACCACAAGATTTACAGTAACAAGTCAAAAACAGACACTGGAGCTGAATACGCCATTATTACAGAAAAAGCAAAA